CCCAGTTCTGCCAGTTTTCTTAAATTCTAAGTCGTATTACTTGTTGTGCCAGTCAGCTTAGAGATAGAAGGCTGTTAAATGCCTGGCAGCTGGCACTGAGATAGAAAACTTATGACCAGAATTTTTTTATTTTTTTTTTATGGAGAATGGAGAGAGTAGTTAGATTAACCATCTAGCTCTAAGTGGTGGTTTGAATTGGTATACTAAGTCAGGAGGCTTATTTTACAATTTTGTGATTTGAGGTAGAACTCTTTCACTTTAGGACCTGAAATGAAACAGAACAGAGTACGGTGTTGATAGCATCATAAGCAATTTTCTGGTATTGCAAAATTACAAGTTGTTTGTATAAGGAGTATTTATTGACTTTTGTAGAGATGACTGAATTGTAACTACAATAGGGAAAATCTAGTTGTTGGACTTTACTTTTTACATTTACACTGTTGAAGATTATTGAAGGATTGAGGGACAGAGAATTGAGACATTGCAGAAATTGAACATACTTGTTAGTTATTTTTCAGCTCCTAGATTTTAAGGAGATATTCAGAGTAAAAAAAAAAAAATAGACTTTTGGTGTGGTGTAGTTATAAGCAGTGTTTAATTGTTGCAGAGTTCCCTATCGGCTGATTTTAGGAAGTTTTAGAAGAAAGAGTAGTTTACTTATTTTTGTTAAATAATGATATGTTATCGTTGAAGGTGCTTGTATGTAAATACTGTTGATATCATTTAAGCAATGATTTAGAAGTCACATTAAAAAAATTTCCCCAAAATTTTGCCTGGGAAAGAACTTACCTAATATGACCTAAAATTGTAATTACAAAGGAAAATAAATGGAATTGCATAAACATATCTAAAAATTCCTGTAGGACTGAAAACATAATAAACCAAGTTAAACAGCTAACTGGGGCAAATATTTGTAACATGTTTGACTAAAGGATAACAGAGAAGTCCAAATAATTGGTTAAAAAAAGATGAATAACCCAGTAGAAAAGTGGGTAACACATTTCACAAAGAAATGCACATGATTAAACTTAACTCATCTTCACTCTTTTATAGACTCACAAGTAAAAATAATATGCTATCTTAATCTTACCACGTTGCCGAAAACTAGCAAGATGGGTAGGCAGTACTTGGAATGGGTTGGGGAGGTGTGAGAAGAGGATGCTGCTTCCTTGAGTGAGCAATGCTCATTGCTATTTGGTTTGCAGTACTGAAAGATGAAACAGTCTACGCTTCTGTCAGAAGGGAGCTGATTAAGAAGTACTTGGAGCGGGACAGGGCATGGCTTAGCTTTTGAGCATTAACCTATGATCCAGGAGATGGAGGTTGGATTCCCTGTCAGGGCAAATGCTGGGGTTACAGGCTTGATCTCCAGCAGGGGGCATGCAGGAAGCAGCCAATCAATGACTGTCTCATCATTGATGTTTCAGTCTCTCTCTCTCCTTCTCTCTTCTTCTCAGAAATCATTAAAGACATATTAAACTAAATTTTAAAAAAAGTATTTGTGGAATACTATGCAACCATGAAAAAGTGAAGTAGATTTACATATACTGACGAGAAAAGGTGACCCGAATATTTCATTTAAAAACATGCCATTTGTTCATATAAGATGGTCAATTTCTGTTTAAAACAAAAAAGACTTGCATATTGATGCATAAAAATGTCTTGAAAAGCTACATGAGCAATCATTGAATAGTGGGTATCTTTGGAGAAAGGCAGTTAAGTGAATGGACAAGGTT